AAGTTTGGCTTACTTGACTCTTAAAATATAGAACATTTAATAACCTAGCCCGTTAAGTATCAATAATGTGATAATACACAACATCGGTCTCAACCCTTCAACAAACTTGTTCTCAACTTTAGTATGTATTCCACCATAAAAACAACAGATTTAGTTAACTAGTGCTCACGTAACTCATACATATAGGACATTTAGTAACTGATTCTTAACTTTGGCACATTTAAATAATATAGTATAGCACATTTAGTGGTTGGTTCTTAACTTTGGCACATTCAAATCATAAAGTATAGCACATTTAGTAACTCATTCTTAACTTTGGCACATTTAAATAATATAGTATAGCACATTTAGTGGCTGGTTCTTAACTTTGACACATTTAAATAATAAAGTATAGAACATTTAGTAACTGGTTCTTAACTTTGGCACATTTAAATCATAAAGTATAGCACATTTAGTAACTGGTTCTTAACTTTGACACATTTAAATAATAAAGTATAACACATTTAGTAACTGGTTCTTAACTTTGACACATTTAAATCATAACATATATCACATTTATTGGCTGGTAGTAGCCTAGTTCTAACCATGCCACACGTAATTCATAAAATATAGCACATTTAGTGGCTGGTTCTTAACTTTGGCATATTTAAATCAAGCATAGCACATTTAGCAACTGGTTCTTAACTTTGGCACATTTAAATCATAAAATATAGCACATTTATTGGCTGGTAGTAGCCTAGTTCTTACCATGCCACACGTAATTCATAAAATATAGCACATGTAATGGTTGGTTATTAACTTTGGCAAACTTAAATCATAAAATATAGCACATTTAGTTGCTGGTTTTTAACTTTACCACACTTAACTCATAATATAACACCTTCAGTAGCCTAGTTCATAATTTCAGCACATTGTACTTGTGATAACACAGTGAGACCACTTATTAACTGTAATATTCTTTAAAATTGTAAAATTTAACACTCAGTCCTCAAAGTTTGCATTTACTTTATGTTTAATACACTGCTTCTCATCTTCATTATACAGAATACAATTCATTCGTTAGTACATAGTGATCTCATGAAATTATTCATATTGAATAGACTCAATTCAATGAGGAGTAAAATTTGCCAATAATAAAATCAATACAGCATGTTTAGTAGTCTGGTTCTCAACTTTGCAAGATCATAGTTTACTCATAAAAATAGTACGTCTACTATTGGTAGAGTTCCCAAGAAATACAACTTAAAGATATAGTTGACATCTCTCAAGCGTATTAATTAATCAGTAATGTTCAGATCATCTGCTCTTCGGTAGGGGTTCGAAAACAATAATGTGTCTAACTTAATATTCCTTCTACGTAAACCTAAAGGAGTAATTACTAACGCTTTTTTATCGATATCTCCAGTTCTTTCAATACAAATTTTCCTGGTCAAATCCTGTCATTGTCGATTATAGCATAGATCTATCTTGTTTATGAAGTCCAGTTGTTTTAATATATTAAATGACAAGGTTTTCACTCGAATTTTAACATTAACTCTCAAAATATATTTAAAATAGATCAGTATCTCAAAAGCTCTTGAATACGTACACAGGGGGAGAAATTCCGCCGGTACTCACCGGAACTCGATAATGGTTCTTTTTGGAATTCCAAGTGGTGTAACACTTTTTATCCACTTTGAAATCGCTCCCGAGTTCCGTTATTTGTTTTGTACTCCTTCACAGTTAAATTTAAACAGGGTACAAAGAGGTGTGGTTAACTAGCAGAAAAACCATACTTTGTGAGGCAATGAAGGGTACCTTTACTTCTGTACATAGTATAGTGAAACCAACTGAATAAGAGAAATATAGCTTAAACGGAATTGTAAACTCATTAGTTAATCATTTCTCTGGTATCTGGGATGGTGAAATAAATAATAGATATAATACCCAACAATGAGTCATCATTGTTACGTTTATGTACACCTGCTGTTAATATTAGTATTAAGAATAAAAAAATGCAGAGTCTTTATTGCATACTATTTAAATTTTATTAAATTAATAACTATGCAATTCAGGACAGTAAACATACAGATCTAGACATTGTAGTAGTAGTAACCATTCAGCATTCAGGACAATAAACATACAGATCTAGACATTGTTGTAGTTGCAACCATTCAGTATTCAGGACAATAAACATACAGATCTAGACATTGTTGTAGTAGTAACCATTCAGCGATCAGGACAATAAATACACAAACCTAAACATTTTTGTAGTAGTAAATATTCAGCATTCAGAACAGTAAATACACAAACCTAAACATTTTTTGTAGTAGTAACCATTCAGCATTCAGGACAATAAATACACAAACCTAGACATTGTTGTGGTAATAATCAAATGACATTCAGTACAGTAAACATACAGCCCTAGACATTTTTGTGGTAATAATCATGTGGCATTCAAGACAATAAACATACAGACCTAGACATTGTCGTGGTAATAATCATGTGGCATTCAAGACAATAAACATACACACATAGAATTTGTTGTAGTCATAACCATGTACCAATCAGAACAATAAACACACAGAATAACTACGCGCCATTCAGGACAGTAAACATACAGACCTAGACATCGTTGTAGTAATAACAATGCATCATTTAGAACAGTAAACATACAGACCTAGACATTGTTGCAGTAATAACCATACGCCATTCAGGAAATAAACATGGAAATCTAGACATTGTTGTAGTAATAATCAGCTATTCATATCAGTAAATATACAGATCTAAACACTGTTGTTGTAATAACCATTGGCCTACAGAACAAATGAAATAACCAACCTAGAACTGGTTGTAGTAGTTGATATTTGCAAAGTAACTTCATAAATAAAAAAACAACAATGATTTCAAAAAATGTCATTATATATATTTTTTTCAGTTTATCTTTCTAATATGCTTTTTTACATTTTTATAAGATTGCTGTATCTGTGATTTTATCACATTTTAACTGCTATCAGCCTCACAAGTAAGAAGTACGAAGTACATCATATTAGCTACGAGTATCCCATGTAGCCGCGTGTTTTATTAAACAAAATCTACTTTCTATTGGACCTATATATTGACTAAATACAAATAACACAACACGAAGTACAGAGTATCTTTATATATTACATACAATGAGTTAACTCCGAAGAAACGTTTTGCTTGATATTCTCTAGAATGTAAAATGTATACCATGTTTCCTGGTGTCTATATAGAATATAACTCAATTATAACTGGAGAGTGTAAACACTGGATCTCAGCAAGCTGTTGTACAAGAATTAAAAGTACATATAATCTTTAGAACTATATGTTATCTGGCAAGTTATAATTATTTAAATAATTTCTATTTGGGTTGATGAACTGTTAACTTATTTCACGTTCTAAGTTGTACAGAAAAAAAAGTCGAAATTCGAAACCGAAACGGTATAGTGGGAAGCTATGTGATAAAAGAAATTAATACTTGAAATTCATTAGAAATATTTCGAAAGTTGTAAAGAAAGAAACACGATTAAAGAAAACCGTTCTAGAATCATGTTGTTTCTAAAATATTCTTAAAGCATTATTGATCATCGGTAATTGTTAAAAGGGTTTTGTGGAAAGGAAGATCGACCGACATCTCTGGCTTATTAAAAACCGATAATATATGTATAGAAACGACACGAAAATAATGTAAAAATATATAACTTAGAAAATGGTTAAAGAATGAAAATAACAACAGAGAAAAAATTAAACATTATTGCCTGGTTTTCCAAATTTCACTCGTAAGTGTCTATTTATAATATCAAATAGCCTTCATATTGAGAAGTTTTAAGCTTTTACCCTATAAGGAGCCGCACTTATTTTTTAATCGGAAGTTTAAAACCTTTAGTTATAATCGTTATCACTAAAACTTGTTAGTCTGTTCTTTGTGGTTGAAAACTTATAAGCTTATTTATTCTAACAAGCTGTATAAAAGACAGTCGAAGTATATAGTACTTTGTGCCACTTGTAGGGATCATCTACTCATTAACATTTCCATCAGCAAAATATATATTTAAGCTACATAGTTGATTGATTACAAGCAGTTGCTTTGAACTCAATACAATAATATGTACAAAATTATGTGTATTATGTGTAAAACACAACTTAAATATTTATTAATATGTATATATATCAAATACAAGTAGGTATTTAGTAAAAAAAAAAACTGCTGGAAAACATTTTAGCTTAAATACAAAATACTTTTCTTTATTTTTTCAGATCGACATTATATAACTGTTACTTTTAATATACCTTGCAAACATAACACCAAACTGAGATTGAGTCCCTCTGGCAGCTGGTTAAGTTAGGCCTAACTGTCGTAAGCCAATCGCACGCCGTGAGTGAGGGCGGTGACGTGTTTCATGGCGGAGCTCCCACCGTTCCTTTCGTTGGCAAGGTTTGTCAGTCATCGGTACTGTCGTCACTTCACTGGGCACCAGAGCTAAGCTCACATGTCCAAATGTATTGGCTCAATATTTTTGGTGATGAAACACAAGACTCCTAGCCTTCTGCTCACAGTATCTTCACATGATCCAAATAAAACCTACCAGGCTTAAAACTTGCTCGTCTATGAGTTGCTATGGTTACAGGGGTCCTGTTTGAAATCTTCCCAACGTTTGAAGGCATGGAATAATCAAGAGCAACCTTCTTCTTCTTCCATCTGAAACTCTGCAGATCGGTGGCAAGAACGAATCCTCACTGCTTCAACTAGATCACAACAGAAATGTAATTTGGAGAAACCTTGGCAGTCGATCTATCACCAACTAATACTAAACAACTGGAGGGCCGGCTCTGAGCGCCATTGGTCGGTATAATCACGTGATTCATTTAACTCGCATATTTCTGTCAATTGCCCTTGATGATTTACCATCCATTTATTTTCTGATTTATCTCTAAGTGCGACAGCTAATTTGTGGCTCATCCTTAAAAAGCGCTGGTCGCCGGATAGTGCACAAGTTATGAATTCTAATGTCGTGTATCCTAGCGTGTGTCACAAGGGTGAGACAGGGGGATACGGCGCTCAACACTACGGCTCCGACCTAGCCGCTCAGGTGTACTACGGTCAGCCCGCAGAGCCTCTTTCTGGTACCGGCAACCACTATATTAGCGGCGGCTTGGTTAGTTCTTTTCCCGGTCCAGATCCACGTACTCCGCCATTACATGGAGATACAAACGGACATTTACCGCATCCCATTATCAATGATACAAACGGACTCAGCTATACAAACCTGGACCATAGTTATGGCCAGCAGGGTCGTCTAAGCCACCCTCACTCCGGGGGAAGTCCCGGGATCCACCCAGCTTACAGTACGACAGGAGACATGAGTCCACGGGGTCCACCAGGGACATTTGGCTACAGAAACTTGGATTATGGACATCCAGGCCACGAGATGACCGGTCATCACGGTATTCATCATCCTGCAGACCACACATCTGTAAATCTAAACGATGGCTGCGGATCTCGACCAGTGTCCACGGTCACCGGTCTACCAGCCGCCACCGCTTATTCCTACCTCGACCCGCTAGCTCTTCCTCGAAGAAATGGCTTTGGATATCAGGAAGGATATGACTCGGTTATGCGGGACAGCTGCCAGCCTAACGGTGCTTTTCAGACCCACGCTCTGTCTACTCAACACACGGCACCCGTTCCCACCTACAAATGGATGCAAGTTAAAAGGAATTTGCCGAAACCAGGTGAGTCTTCTTCATTTGTATTGTAAACACACGGCACCCGTTCCCACCTACAAATGGATGCAAGTTAAAAGGAATTTGCCGAAACCAGGTGAGTCTTCTTCATTTGTATTGTAAACATAATGTGAATAAACAAAAGCTTCTGAGTTGCTACCAGAACTGCAAGCTTCTATACACGATGCTCGTGCTGTAGGGCAGTAGAAGGCAGCTTCCACTCCAAGTGTTCACGTGCTTTCCGTGTCTGCGGAAGCTATAAATCAGTTGTTCAAAACCATAAACCATCAACCACGAGAAATAATCACCATTTCTTTTCAATGGATCTGAAAATAGTAACGGCTCTTCTCGTAGTAGACAGTCAAACCAGTGGCCTAAAACTACTAAGAAACTCCTACTGTCAAATTAATTTAGCAACCGCACGCAGCTTGGGGTGCTCATTTTTTAACAAGCGCCCCTCAACAGCAGCTCCCTAGGTGTGAGACTGGGGCCCTTCTCCTAACTGTCTTTACAACTCCGAACGTCACAGGTGGCCGGCCATAAATTTCTAATTATTCTTAAACTCAAACAACTCTTCAACGAGGACATTTGTTAACTGAGACCGAAATTTATGTCCTTGTTCAATCTGATGCTGACCAGATTACTCCCATGTTGCTTTACATGACTAGCTTCTATGTTTAACGCAAATCTTTGTGACGCCTAGTGTATTGTCGACTGGATACGTACCATATATATATATATATATATCAATTTATTCTCTTTTTTTAATACAATAAAAATAAAAAACATTGTTTTTCTTGAGTTTTTGATTTAATTTAAATATTGTTAGTGTAAATCAGTGGACACTAATAAATAAGTTAAATAACAACTCCTACCAGTTGTTAACACACTATTTATTTTACTAAAAACTTAAATCTCATATGTTCAGATTTCAATCAGTTTTCAGTTGTAGCCTTTGATAACGGGATTCGTTAGACAGAAACTGTTCTACAACAAAATAAGTCTTGATCAACCAAAAACTAGTCAGGTGAGACTAAACGTGGTAGAGATTAGACTGTCTCATCAAAGCAGCCACTATTCGTTTATAGAGTGGAGTTCCACGTGATTAATTACCATAGTTAACATCTTGGCGCAGTACGTTTGGTCGCAATATTTCATTTACACTAATGAAAGTGATTAATAGTTCCTGCTGACATAGTCGCACGGCTGCAGAGGTGAAATGATGACTGCCTTACAATTACTGACTCTTGACTGATTTTGATGAACTCGACATTTCGTCACCAGATGATAATGGTTTATGTGTATCTTGAAGTTAACTAATTTCAAATTTTCATATTTCTTCCGGCTTCAAATGTCTTATAATTAAGTATCGTGCAATGAAGCATAAGAATAATTAGGCAGAATTAACTACAGAATCAGGACTAGGGTTAATAATCATCGAATAAATGCTTCTCTCCGCTTCTTACTCAAAGTGATTAATAGAAAACAACCATGAAAATATAACAATCATGTATGATAATAAAATGTGCTTACTGACAAGAAAGTAGACTATAAGAACAAAATATTGAGGACTTTAGGTAAAGTAGTGAATTCGAAAATTAAAGTGGTTAACAGAGAAATAACCGTTTTTATCCTACCATTAATAAAAGAGCTTGATGTTTGACATACGAATTTTATCCACCATTTTAGTTGCAAGATTAGCACATTGTATACACTAAAGAAAGTTACAAATAGAAAGTTTATTTTGTGTCTATTTTAAAAATATAACGTAGAAAAAATTGAAGTGAAAGAAAGCAGTGATAAAAAGAAACGGAATGACGTTGAAAAACATTACAACACACATATATAATCCACCAACAAACACGACTACTGACCGAGAGATGGTGGATCTGACCCTTGCCTTCATATCATTTTTTTGCGTCTTCGCTGCCCATTAGTTAGAGTTGTTAATTATTAAGGCTATAAACTGACAGAAAATGTAATTTTTCTACAGGTTATGTCCAATAGTGGGGGTTGTTGGTTATTAAAGCTATAAATTGACAGAAAAATTAACTTTTCTACAGGTTATACCCAAGAGTGGGGGTTGTTAGTTATTAAAGCTATAGATTGACAGAAAATGTAATTTTTCTACAGGTTATACCCAGTAGTGGGGGTTGTTGGTTATTAAAGCTACAAATTGACAGAAAATTTAACTTTTCTACAGGTTATACCCAAGAGTGGGGGTTGTTAGTTATTAAAGCTATAGATTGACAGAAAATGTAACTTTTTTACAGGTTATACCAAATATTGGGGGTTGTTAGTTATTAAAGCTATAGATTGACAGAAAACGTAACTTTTCTACAGGTTATACCCAATAGTGAGGGTCGTTATTTATTGAAGCTATAAATTGACAGAAAATGTAACTTTACCACAGGTTATACCCATTAGTGGTGGTTGTTAGTTATTAAAGCTATAAATTTACAGAAAATGTAATTTTACTACAGGTTATACCCAAGAGTGGTGGTTGTTAATTATTAAAGCTGTAGATTGACAGAAAATGTAATTTTACTACAGGTTATACCCATTAGTGGGGGTTGTTAGTTATTAAAGCTATAAATTGACAGAAAATGTAATTTTCTACAGGTTATACCCAAGAGTGGGAGTTGTTAATTATTAAAGCTGTAGATTGACAGAAAATGTTCCCCCCCCCGGCTAGGAACCAGGGATAGAAAGTTGTTCATTGTTGCAAATTTGCACTAAAATACACTTACATTTGTTTTGAATGTTGTTTTTCATTAAGATATAACTAAAATGTTGCTGTAACACTCTTGTATATTATATAAGCGGAATGTTTGTTATATGTAATTTACTACTTCTGTGTGTATATATATATATATATATTATATATGCGGAATGTTTGTTACATGTAATTTACTACTTATGTAAAGTAAATATATATATATATATTATATATTCGGAATGTTTGTTACATGTAATTTACTACTTCTGTAAAGTAAATATATATATATATTATATATGCGGAATGTTTGTTACATGTAATTTACTACTTCTGTAAAGTAAATATATATATATATATATTATATGCGGAATGTTTGTTATATGTAATTTACTACTTCTGTGTGTATATATATATATATATATTATATTATGCGGAATGTTTGTTACATGTAATTTACTACTTCTAGTAAAGTAAATATATATATATATATTATATATGCGGAATGTTTGTTACATGTAATTTACTACTTATAGTAAAAGTAAATATATATA